TCTCAAGTAGATGACTTTGATGAATTACTGTTCTCACATATTGCATCAAGTGGAGGAGGTAACAGGGATGTCGCGGGACTGACACTGGATGAGTTTACGGATGGATTTGAAACATTCCTGGACAAAGGTACAATCAATATATTAAATATATAAGTTACAAAGTAAACGTCTATCCGGTGCAAACAGTGTCCTACATGTACATTACAGGTAATTCTACTATTAACTTTATTTGAAATTGTAAGCTTTGACACGTCAAGTTATCCAGCATAATCCGCATCCTTAAAGTACAGAAACATCCTGAATAAATTTCTCATTGCATGCTGTAAAATATACACATAGCTAGCTTCTACCATAGATAGCTTCCCACCATGTCTAAATTTATACTCACTGTGTACTGCATATAAACCAGCCTATAATAATAATTGTGGTTGTGTACTCAGTGGGTTAGTGATTACATGTACTTAGCTGGGTATTTAGTGTTTGCAACTTTGACTTATTAGCATTCATTGTACACTAATTGTCTTGTAAGAGTCAGAGTAATCAATCTTTTGAAGGCTTACTCTTGATTTCTGGTTTTTGTCATTTCGTGTTCACAGGAGGAACAACTGCAGGAAAGTTAGAGCTATACTTCTCAATGTTCAGTGATGGTGAATCATCCATGTCCTTCACAGGTAAAAGCTTCAGCCAACAACAGCCTATAATCATATTGTGCAAGATTCCTGTCAGACTATTGCTCATCAGTCTCTCTCAGTGAAATATCGTATGGTTTGTTCAGCTGCCAGGCTATAGATATGAACTTGGGATTTACCTATTTACATTGGATTCTCGAAACATTTTTATTGAACTTTGCATTTTTACTCCTTTTCCTTCACTTTATCATTCTTTGTAAAATTCTTGAAATACAATATGTTTTGAATCAAGATTTTACTGATAAGACAGCACATGCTCATCTACAAAGCTGAAGTTAAGACTCTGACTATTGCAATAATTGTTTTTTTGTTGAACAAAATAGAAGTACATGTATATTTAATGGATAATTATTATTTGTAAATATCAAAATCTTCAACAAGAGATTTTAAAATCCCAATGTTTAATTGATTTTAAAATCTTTTGTTGAAGATATTTTTGATATTTGGAAATACTATATGGAAATACTATTAATAATGGTTATGTTTTACTGCTGGACTAGATTTGGTGGAGATGTTCCAAATCTCCAGGTCTTTAGCTTTGGCTGTCACTGACAGTGGCGTGCAGGGTCCTAAACCTGAAACAGAGACAATAGCAGATGTGTGGGCGAGGTCTATTGTGAGTTGAAATTTATTGTACTTTGTCTGACATTTAAACCCATGTATAACACTGACACAGTCCTTTTGAGAGGTCCAGGCGGTGATTTTCCCAATAGTGATATGATTACTTTTAATTACATAGTGTCAAGCCTGGCTTGTAGCATTGTGATTGTTACTTATACATGTAGCTATTTTATCCCAGGCCATATAACTTAGTAGTATGCAATCACTGCAGATAATGAGCTACTGAGCCTGCTGGGAGCTGGCTGGTCATCAATCAACCAATCGATTTATTAATGTGGTCAGTACGTTGAGCTGCAAGCTAGGCACAAAATTATAAGGATAAAAATACAAAAAAACTTTGAAATTGGAAGTGTATTGTGAGTTCATAATAATTATACCCTTTGTATATGGTGAGGACTTTTGTATACAAATGAAAATAAGAAAGATCAAAG